GCCGCCGCACACGCCAAGCTCTCCATTGAGGACCTCAAGGTGCTCTTCAACATGGCCTCCTAGCCTCCTAGCCTCCTAGCCTCCTAGCCGCACCGCTCCCTTCTACACCGTCAATTACTTTCTACTCTGTGTTCACTTATTTTATCTATTACAATAAGATACCTTCCTACACTTGGACTCGTTTGACTTTGTTATATTATTATATTTTTTTAAATAACTGCTACTAAAAATGTGCCAAATGTAAATAATGAATGTAGGGCAAGTTTTAATCACTATGTTAATAATCTTTATTTGCTTTAAGGCTGGTTATCGATGTGTCGATTGATAATTTACCGACTTGTTATTATTACTATGACATTGATCTTCAACATTTCTCATTTCTACATATTTTAAAAAACCTGGACAAAAATAATTATTAAAAGTGTAAAAAATATAAATGCTGTATATTTGTTAAGTACGCTTTAGTTTTATTTCTTTCCAAACCACTTGTTCTCCTACTTCACACTGATTTAGTAAAGTCAAGTGACTGCTATACACGTTTCACATACACAAAGGTAGTTTAGACTTACTTTACACGTGATACTAACACAATTGAGGCCACTATTAGACAATATTATGGATGTTTGAAAAACGCCACAGCCACAGTAAAAAAGTTTTATATTTCTATTTCTAACTCATTAGAACTTATCTTAATCTTCACAAAATAACTGGTACTTATTAATGTCAATGCCTATGAATGAATAATTGTAAAAATGTAAATAGACGTTAGTAAGCAAGACACGATTGTTTTATTTTTCGGAAATTAGTTTAAGTCTGTGCATTTCTTTAAATTGCGGTAGATAACGTATGATTATACCAAATAAAATGTACATAAAAAGTAGGGGAACGTCCCTCAGTGACGGACATTTTTCTGAAAAATTTATCAGACAGAAATCTACTGATGCAAGAATCCAAATTTCTAAGCCCGATAGCTTGTAAGCTTATTTTTCAATTAACTGTATTTTGTGTTCGCGATATCTTCTAAACTAAATTGAAATACTCTAAAGAACAATTTTATTCTACATCAAATTCTGACAACAAATGCATTTATTTGGATAAGGATCAATATTGAAACCAATTAAAAAACGACGCAAATAGCGTGCGGTATTTAATTCATTTTGTAAAAGAAAAGTGGTTATTGTAAGAAAACCGTCGAAGATAGATATATGCTATCGCAGACTTTTCCGTACAACATTTTGAGATCTACAATTTTTTCATACATCATTTTTATATATCTCTAACGGTTTAGGCAGCGTAAGCTGATAAAAGTTAAAAGTTAGTTAGTTATTACCTTTCTAATGGTGAAATAATTTTTAAAATCGGCCCAGTAGGTTTTGAGTTATTTCGATACACATAAAAAAACAAATCTTTCCTCTTCATAATATTAGTATAGATTATCATCAACAAGTGTTCACTCATACATTGTTGCAAGTCATCTGAATATACCGTGACGCGATGTCTCCCTACAACAAACCGCTCCCACTGCTGTCTCGGGCGTCCCTGGCTCTGTTAATCGCGTTACGTGAGTGTTATTGCTACCTCCCCCTACAACCCTTGAATATAAGAAACCAAGAAGCCTTGGCACAATCTTGAAGTAAACAAGCATTTTAGTTTATGTTCTAGGTCAGTGATTCTCAACCACTGTGCCGCGGCATTTTTGTGTGCCGCCAAATTTTGTATATGTTGGTCATAAAATATTTATGTAGCGTGTTGTAGTAAGTAAATAATTTTTATCTTTTTCTTTATGTGCCTCCAAATTTTGAAATCGTTAAATATGTGCCGCCACAAAAAAAGGTCGAGAATTACTGTTCTATGTACTTCTACCCTATAGTAGGTATTACAGAAATATAGCTTAGAATGTATCCTTTTAGATTCCATTGAAATTCTTCCGCCTTTTTCGGCGACCATACTGGCTTAGGCCAAAATCCGTAGATACACATTTATCTCTTGCAAGCAATGTATTTGTATTTGCTTGCAACATTTGTTGCAAGCATTTCTACCATTTAGTATGTACTGCAGAGATGTAAATAGAAGTTATTTTTATCTAAAGGTAAAAATTATTAATAAATAATTATGGCCAACCTCTCCATACAACGCGAAGCACTGTGCTGCGTTAGGGGACCAAAGGTCCCCGTAAAGGTTAAAAAAAAAAAAAGCATTGTGTATATAGTGTTATATTCGTAGTTAACATTTTAGACTTACTTCATTTGTATGAAAATGTCAATAGTTTTGTTTAGGCGTTACTACTAGAGTATTAATTGCGAATAAAATAGTGTTAAAACGGTAGAAAAATGAAAGGAACTTTATTCAATATAGCATTAATATTTATTTAATCAATTTATCTATATTTTATCCACTTCTTTATGCATGTGTCCCGGCGCTCGTGGCTCACTGACACACTTCGTGAGACGTCCTTCACCCTGTCTTAGGGTTCATCATGTTTTTGTTTCATTCGGGATACCAGATTCTGTCAAACACACAACAAAGTTATAACAATTGTTAAATCGAATATTTAGTAAATTTTTCATGTGTAGGGTTCACCGTCTATTCAATCTGTGCGCCTTTTTAATTGTATAACGTATCTGCACAGTGTACAATAATGCACCAGAGAACATGTCCCTGGCGTTTGCCGTCGTTTGTAACGGATTCCGTCCAGACGCGCTGCTAGCCCTAGCCGGCCTCATGCTAGAGCTCATCGAGCCGCATGATGCGCGCCGCATTCCGCTTCCTAAGGAGTTTACGACAAGGCCGATTGGTGTTGTTTTTACATTATCATCAACTAAACAATGCGCACGTGTAATTTTCCAAAATAAATGTTAAACATGGCTCACAAGTGTGTGTGACGAGTGTGGATGGTGTGAGGGCGGTGAGGCGGTGCCGGCGGCCGTGGCGGGCGGCTGCGGCGCGCCCGTACTTACGATTGCAACGTTCTCCTCGTCTGCGGCGTGCCTGCGTTAGCTAATGCGTGCGCGGCCGCCGCGCGTGCCGCAAACAAACCTCACCGCGTCGCCTACGCGTGCGGGCCGCAGATATCGCGCCGCATGCACGAGCGTCCGCGGGACCATCGCGTATTGCGGTGGGATAACGCATGGCCGAGATCGCACCGGTGTCGCCACGCTAACGCCTCTCGACCGCGCCTCGCCGCAGCCTGCGCGCTCACTCTAGCGAGTAACGTCCGCACACCGCCCCGCATCGAGTGCCTCACGTCGCTGCGCTACCTCTTTACATTCACTAACATATCAACACTAAGTCACCCACCAAACTACATCCGGACACGCCTAGACGTTATCTCCTGCAATTATATAACCATGACAAGTTATGTTACAACCGCAACCGCAAACAAAGAAGCGAGCGAGCCGCAGTGCGAGACAGGTCACATGCAATCGGAGGATGTAAATAAAAAAAAAATAAAATGGTAAAGGATTTAATCTAAAGTAAAATATAGTACAGCTTAAATTACATGTAATTATTCTAGAACGGTATTCCGTAAAATCTTATTGAATATAAATATAATGTAACATTCCGTCGGGCGACTTCGTCAGCGGGGAAATCAAACCGCGGGTGCTAATTTCATTATCTTTATTGTAATACAAAATGATTTGACATAATTTGATAGTGGTCGGCGGAGCGGGCTCGGCGGGGTGGGGGTGGGGGGCGCTCGGGCACACCAACTTACGTACGCAACCTCACGGCCGGTAACGCACACTCCTTATCTTACTGCAAATTCTTATGTGGTAATTGGTACGTCAGAAACTAAATCCCCGCTACACATTTTCCGTACACGTAACGAGACTTAATTTGAGAATCAGAGACACCGGCCCGCGCCTCGCCCGGCCCGAATGTTAACCTTATAGCCTACGTGTATCGCTGTGAGGTGACCGACTGACGTCCGCAACGTACCGACACTTACCACCCCGCGTGACTCCCCCTAAAACAAACGTTTGCACCTTAGAACATCGCTCGTGCGTCAGACAGCTGCCGCATCCGAGTATTCTCATCTCCTCCCCTCTCGCTTATACATAAATCTCTCAGTTAAATATACATTCAAATGCAACGAATAAATATTCCGCTACATATATTTTGATCTAAAATAATTGGCAAGAATCATTTACGATTTAATTGAATTTCGTTAATTATTGTCCGATAACGTAAATGTTGCTAGTCGCAAATGTATAAAACCTTGAATGCACTAGGGGACAAACTGGGCGACGTGTCCGGCTGGGCGCGCTGTCACATTACAAACAGTGTACTGCTCATGTGCAAGAATACCGTCCGGACAGATTGTCATATTATCACTGCATAGACGTAATAGAGACAGCAGAGGTCTTTAAAAAATGATGCTCCGCAATATCAACATACGCATTAGAGTACTGCGCTGACTTACGACACGTGTGGGATAGCAAATGGAGGGACCGATACATTCCTTGTCACATTGTGAATGTTGCTCCGCAGACAGCTAAATGTTTTGCATCACGATGGGATAATTTGTTTCCTAGTGTATTCTTGGCTATACTTTGAAAACAATTGTTGCAATTTTCTCAAGGTTTACCTTGTATCTATTTGATTATTTGCAACATCATTGGAATAAATTAATTTATTAAATAAATTCTGTAACTATTACTTTAAAAATAATAACCATCAAAAAACCGCAAACATCACTAAAATAAAATTTGATTTTAGTGCCTATCAGTAATATTGCAGCCCAAAGATGGATAAACATCAATGCAAAAGAAAACTTATTTTATGTGTAACAATAAGTTGAAGGTTGACAGACACAAGTAGTGATGTGTGCAGTTACTTGACGGTATGTGTGAGCGAGTGCAGTGCAAGGTGAGCTACTCACCGGCCCATGGGCGGGTACTGCTGCGCGTACGGGTCTCTGTCGTAGCCGCCGGCGACGCCCGCCGCGCCGCGCCTGCAACATACATTGTGCTAAATTAACAACACTAACAATTACCACAAAGGCAAATGAAACGGAATATCTAAAAGTAAAAATTGTCATAACATCACAGTTGTTAAAACTTTAAACAAAAGTATATTTATAAATAACTTTGTACTTATTTAAGGGTATTTAAAACAAGTTACTATGTGGAAACTGTCCCCATAACTTAAAGCTCAATCTCATACAATTCCTGTTTTTTAAGCAAAGAAACATGCTAAGCCTATAGTTGATCCCAAGTACTTTGACAAGTTGTGGTTAGACATAAGGTTTACTGACATATTTTGTATGTATGCTGATTTTGTGTGTTTGTTCAATTGAGGCCTCCTGTACAAATAAATGAATAATAAAATAAAAAGTTCAAAATACTGACATTGGTGGCGGCGAGCGCCTGCTGAACATGTCCGCGGCGGGCAGCGGCGCGGCGCGCGGCGGCGGGCGCTCGTACGCCGCAGGCAGGGGCCCGGGCCGCATGGGCGCGCGCCGGTCTATCATGTCCCTCTCGTCGCCGTACATGCCCGCGCGCCTGTCCTCCGCGTACATGCCAGACATGTCCTCGGCGGCGTACCCGCGTCGGTCGTCGTACATGGGCGGCGCGCCGTACTGGTCGCGCCCGCGCCCGTCCATCAGTGCGAACCCTCGCCGATCTTCGCCGCCGTAGCCGTTGTACCCGCGGTCGTCGTACCCCATGGGCCGCTCCATGCTTCGGTCGTATGGTGGAGCGCCCATGCCGTTCCTCATCGGCATACCACCGCCCATTGGAGGCCCGCGCATGTCGCCGCCTCTCATCGGTCCCATAGGTCGGGCGTCCCTCATGTAGGGAGCGTCTCTGGTCGGTGGACCTCCACGCATCGGCCCTCCGGAGCGCCGATCCATCGATCCTCTCATTCCACCTCGCATGCCACCGCGTGCCCCGCCGCCGCGTTGCCCGCGTTCCTTGATCCGGCCTCTCTCTACTGTTATAACACCTCCATTGAACGTCGTATTGTTTAAGCTACGGATGGCGGTCGCAGCCTGTTCCTCGGTCTGCATATGTACGAATCCGCATCTGTTCATTATGTCACATTCTGTAACTACGCCAAACCGCTCAAATAACTTCCGAAGCTCCTCCGGCTTGGAGCCCTGAGGCAAGCTACCGACGAAAACTTTTGTTTGCTGAAAACATTATTATATTCATCAATTTCACTAACTTTACATAACATATAAGTAAAAATCATAATTTACACTTACTGGCACCATTTTGTCCTTTACAACACTTTATTCTAATTCAATAATTTAATAAAACTCACTACACGTGCATTTATAACAAAGTACCGCAATCCCGCTTCTTTTATCAACAAAATGGCGGTGGCGGGCGATGTATCATAATGAAGAAAAATGACGTTTTAGAAATAAAACCGACAGTTTGGAGATCTAAAGCTATGGTATTTGATAGTAAGCAGTGGCTTACTTTACAATTGGTTGAATTGCATAAGACATTGAATTATTATAAACTCTATTGGTTACAGCTAAATGCGTCGTTGACAACTTAACCAATCACAGAATAATTATTTGGTCTTGCCATAGTTTTGGTTTTGCCATAGAGCGAGACCTCAATACTGTAACATTTTTCTCTCTCTGGCCATGGTGACCATATTGAAACATAATTTTAGAGCAATAGTTATAAATAAATATTCGTGATCTGATGTCAGCAGATCATTGCTTCAGATGGATTTTAATCAAAGGTGCTAATGATAAACTTGCTCTATATGGCACTATACATTTCCCATTTTTGCTTGCTTTTCACATACGCGTTACATACTTCTTGTTGGACACGACATGCAGATGTACACCTCCGTGAATTTGACCCCCTCACCTTTTTTGAACATTTTTTTGCAAATCGTTTAATAATCGTTAGAGAGGGTTAGGGAGGGTTAGAGAGTTCCTACTTTCTCCATAAAAGCAAATACAATTTTTACCGTGAAGTTGGCCCCCACACTTTATTTTTTTTACTTTTTATGCAAATCGCAAGAGAATCGTTTGAGAGTTCTTACTTTTTTTGTAAAAAATATTTGAAATTTTGAAATCGAGTAAAATTTGGTTGATGATTTTCTCAATTATTCTTAGGATTTCTAGGATTGGATAGTCATGCATGGTCACCGTAATTCTTCACTAACAAATTGTGTTTAAAACTATTACCTATGAAAACATAAGCCACAATCTGGATAATACTTGCTTTCACAAGCCTTCACGACATAAGTTCTCACCATTTTAACAAGGTAATTTAAAAAATATTACGGATTTTAAAAACGCCGCCATTGAAGTCCGATTCGGCGATGCATGCGGTGTTGTCAGTTTAGGTGTTCGAATTTCAAACAAATAAAGGAAAACCTGTACGCCAATCGCAATTTTTTTGCGTCAATAAAGTTTTACAAGTAGCAACAAATAATATTGATTTAACATGTCGGTAATAAATTATCATTAATATTTAGAAACATGTTGGAAGTAAATATTTTTAATGCATTACATTACGTCAATTGCCTATGTTTCCACAACCAACGAAAGGATTGATATCTGGCAACTCTAAGTCACTGTTAGAAAGGGAAATATCCGACACTTTTACCCCTCTCACTCGGGTTAAATTTCATTTTGCGTGCAACAAGACTTACGCCCTTAGCCTAAAGCCCTAAGTTAAAATAAAGAAAACAAGATTTTATTTTCTTTATTTTAACTGCAAGATGTACAGATAGAACACACACCTCTTGTAAGTATGCTTATTACCTCCATTGATTTAATATTATTTTATTGTTTAATAAAAACATTTATGCATAGTTCCTAAACATTAGTAATAATAAAATATAGCCTATGTTACTCACAGATAAATTACCTTTCTGATGGTGAAAGAATTTTAAAAGTTGGCCCAATAGTTATTACGTGAACCAAATACAAAAATACAAATCTTTCCTCTTTATAATATTAGTATAGATGGACCAAGCAGCATTTTTAAAATACCTATAAAACGTATTTCTGGTTATTAAAAAAATGTAAAGATGTTATTGCTAGTTTTTCCTTTATCTCGAGTCTGGATACAAGTAGCAGTTGCAGTTTCATCATCAACATGGTATATAACCCGATTTCCATTTCTTGAATTAGTGCTTAGCTTACATGTAAGTTAATCGTAACATATTTCCGAAAACTAAAGTACCTATTGACTTTGAAGGGAATAGGATAAATAGAAGAAAAAACCGATTGGTAAATGTTTATTTTATGCAGCATATCCAAAATAATTTTTCTGAATGTATTGTAATTGCTAAATACAGAGACACACACACAATTTATTCTTGTGAAGCGAAGCGTCGTCTTGCAGCAGCCCGCGTCGCGCCGACGTCGCGGGTGAAGCTACATAAGCGGTTCGCATACGAGTTGCTTGCATGCAATCACATCAAAATTTTAAAATTATAATTATTTTTCACTATAAAAATACACTTTACTAACCAACCATAAACATACCGAACCGAAATGAGTCACCTTGTGAAATCACATGACAAGATAACCAAAATATCGTCCGTAAAGTTTTCTCAGGTTTAACATTCAGTCTCCACATTTCTATTTTCCATTCCTTGTTATATTTCGAAGTAAACATACAAATAAATAATGAGTTAAGTACTTTGTTATATTAACTATTCTTATTTGTTAAAATCTTTGTACGGGGCAAAAGTACAAAGGCATGAGTTGCATGGTAACACGAAATAAAAATCAATAAACCTTTCTTAAATATAAATATTCCGAATATACTAAAAACAAAAATAAAATCAATCAATAGAAACTGGTAACATCTAATAAAAGCTAAAAAAGAAAAAAAACGGAATTAACATATTTGGATTTCCGTTTTAGTTTGCCACTTCAATTACATATTGTCTTTCGTATTATAAAAAACAACGAAAATTTTTGTACGGATGTGGGCACGGTAAAGTTACGCATATATTTTTATTGACAGACTAGCTTCTGGTTAGTTTAGTTTGCAAGCCATGGCCCCGGATAGGCGTTAGATAGAAACAATTCCATTTTTTTTGTAAAATTGCTCTAATTAAATTAACCCAAATCTATGCGGTTTATAAACATAAATAGTGGTGCCCTCTTGACTAGCATCCATATTGTCTTTAAAGATGAATAAAAAAAACTTGAACGCAATGGAAGTCTCATCAAAACTTTTCATTGCTTTGACTAAAATATACTTATGTCCTAACATAAATTTACCAAAACTACATATATAATTTAAATAAGATTTATCTAACAGTCGCCCGTAGAAAATATTTTATATAAATTACAACCTCTCATTATTCAATCTATTAACGATAAAATTAAACTGAGATTCTGTTTATCAGTACAATGTATATAAATATTAAATAAGGCTTGTTAATTAACAAAATGTGAATCTGCCTTAAAATCGGAGATTAAGTTTCGTTTAAGTTTTCAAATATAGTCAACGTTGTCTACACATTCTTTTGGTCTATTCTATAAAAATTGGGACAAAGATTTTTAAACTCACATATATGTTGTTGAAAAAGGTAACATTTCCAATTTTCTATCCATCAAAGTATCTGCACAAGTTGTAGTCACACACACATACACACACACACTATTCTTTAGCACCCATCATAATTCCCTCAGGTACCAGACACCAATAATTGCTAACACATAGATGTGGCCGGCAACGTCTCTCTTCAACATTTAAGACCGTCTTTATCAACAGTACATAAATACATCTATAAAAATAATAGTTAATGGAATCACTGATTATTTTCCGGCTGCGCAGTGACGCGCTTTAGCGAACTTGTGCCGGTTTTAACAGTACATACGCCCTGGGCGAGATATACAGCGCCCTTTGTTTTTTTTGAAAAGGTCAAGTGACATATATTTCGCAGATTGATGGTGACCCTTTCTGTCCCGCCCTGGGCGGTCGCCCATCCGCGCACTACACTGACGCGGTGCTGGGGTACCAAGCTGATATTGACGGTAGATATTTTAGAGTGACATTCCGTTGACGCATTCGTCACTGGATTGGTTTGTCTGCGAGGTGCGCGCGGTGCGCGAGGTGCGCGCGGTGCGTGCAGTGCGTGCGCGCCTCCATCTATGTATTTCAATGTATGGTAAAGTGACAAGTGATGTGCTCATTTCCTAGGCGAGGTCTAAGCGCTACACTAGCGACACGACATTTAGGACGTCTTCGTCGGATCACAACGTTTCATCTTCATAAGATAATTCTCCGCTAGTTTCTATCACTATTTATTGCTAGATAAGGCGTGGGGCTTACATCTTATGTTAATTGGAGACAGGAATGTAAGAAAATGTTAGAAAAGAAGTCCTATAGTAAGTTTTAGAGAATATCTATTCGAAACATCTTTGACGAGACGCAGTTAATTGCCGAAATACATTAGATTAGCAAATAGAGGAAAAACTCCGTGATTTATGATGGTCCAAGCATCCAAAAATAAGACGAGGTTACGAGAAGAGATACAGTTACAGAGCCCGTTGCGGTTACCTGTACATATGGTTCACTGTAACTTTTGTATTTAATGTTATCGATGATTGTTTGTTTTTTTGATTATTTGTAGCAGATTCCGCTAAGTTTATGTACATGGTGTCTGCGGGAGCGCGGCGCGGTATCTGTGTGGGGTGCTACGTGCGCAGGGGGGAGGCG